TGATAGCAATAGCAATAATGATAGCAATAATTCCCTGCATTCGTGGCAAAATAAAATTACATTCTTACGTGGAGTCGTGCATTATTCACCATCTAAGAAAGCAACAATGCTCCACCCTCAAAGTCAGGGGGCAGGAGGAACGTGTGCCTCATAAATTGTTTTCATTTGTTTTGGGCATTAAAAAAGGGGGAAAAAACCGCACACACCAGTGGATTTCAAAGGTAATAATAATGGAGAAATAAGTTTATTTGTCAGGTAATTTGGTAATTTGTTCTGAATCGGTAAAATAACAACGAGACGGAGATAATATTTTTAAGGGATTTTCAGTTCGGCTTTTTGGTCTGTGACGATTAGAAATATACTCTTGAAAAAAAAAACTAAACTAAGGACCGAATATTAAAAGGCTATCTTACTTAGATCCCCTAGATGAGTGCTTTCGCTCTTGGGCCGGGTTAATGTAATTGAAAAAATAGTTTTAAATAACAAAAAATAAGGCTATATTATAATTATAATCTTTGATAACTGAAGCGAGATGAACAGCTTTTAAAAAATTCATTTTCATTTTCACTAACTTTGAGATTCTCACTTCACTTTAGGTTGTGACAGAAACTCTGTTGGGATACAGTACAGGTCAGTCATTCCTGACAGCAGTTTGACAGCATCCTCTTTTTTTAATATATATTTTGCACCACAACATGGTAGACTACATGACGCATATGGATGGTCACCCATAACAGAATACAACGAACGAGATTACCTACAGATTGACCTTGGTGGGTTAACTGAAGTGTGTGGTGTAGCAACACAAGGTTGTGGAAATAATAACGAATGGGTGACAAAATACAAGCTTCATTTCTCAAAGCGTGGTGCTATTTGGGACACATACCAAGAAAATGGAACGGAAAAGGTACGCATGGGTTTCCTGATTGTTTATCAGACAGTACTTCTATAATTGATTGATAGATATTTTTAAATCGTACATTCATCCGAAGGCAAACCCGGGGTTAGGATCGTCTGCAAAACTCTAGACCTTAAGCGGTGCACTCATTTCCAGCGCGCATCGTAATGTGCATTCATAAGCCAAGTATTTTATTGCTAATCCAAAACGATTTTTTTCTGATTCCAATAATAGTCAATTTTGTTAACTTCAAATTTAACTGAAACACGACTTATGGCGCCGAAGAAACTTTATAGTTGATTTAAATTTAAAACCAAGAATCTCAATTTGTTGATTAACTTTTAATAACGTAATTGTATTGGGAATCAATGTTGCTGTTGCGGCAGTAGATTCGCCGTTTACCGCTGGGCAGTCTCTGGTTCGATTTCTGGAGGCATCGCAGGTGAGTAGTGTTTTGTTCGTGGTTTCACGAGACTTTTTTTTTAATCCGTCCCTTAGCATTAAACCTAACAAGCTAAATTCCAATTCGATGTATGAATTAGTA